AGCTCAGCTGGAGGGTGGGAGGCAAACACGATGGTGACATTTGCTGGGACAAAGCTCAGGACCATGCTAAGGATATGCCACTAGTGCCTGAGCTGGACTGAGTTTTGGTGTTCAAGGGAACATCAATCTCCTTTTTTATCCAGAATCCATACTGCTGTGGAGCACTTTTTAGTCTTTTAGCCTTTTTAGGAAGCAGCGGTGTAAATTTAGGAGGGCACAGCAGCAGGCTGGAGGCAAGAGAGACCCATTCAAAATCAAGGGGTGGGGAGAGCAACGTAGCCAGCAAAAGGACTTCAGATATACAATCCAAGACCTGAATCTCTCAAATCATAAACATCTTACACAGTAATGTAAGAAGATACTGGTGTTTTTCTCAGGCCTTCAATACTGGGCTTTAAGGTTACAGTCAGGTTCCATTGCTAGCTTTTCCTGGCAGCTGTGAAGAGTAGGAACTTTCCCTTATACATTGTAAGTTTTCACATAATTGAGTGAGTCTGGGAGCTGGAGCTTTACAAAAAACAGTGACTTGAATGGGATGTCTGATGAAATCTAGGAAGTCAGCAGCATGGGGGGAGGCAGACCCTGCAGAGAAGGGCTTCTGAAGAGCTGCTGAGCAGAAGCCTTGCGTCTGAGAGAAGCTAGCAAGAACTGAGACATGAGGGAGCTCAAAGCAGTTCACATTGCCTTAAATTCAGCATTCTAAGCCCTAAGGTTTCAGTCATTTTAAGCTGGACCACAAAAATTTGTGATAACTCTAGAATCATGGGTTTTTGTAAAAGAATAAATGCTGCATTTTCTCTCTTTGCCTCTGAGTGTTAGAGTTACCTTCAAATAGCATTTTGTAGTTTTTCCCTGCAGTGAAGAAAACATGTTTCATTAGTATCACAATTTTTGGTTTTCCCCACACACAAGAGGACTAGAAACTTGTCTTATGCAGATAACACTTTTCTCACCTAATCATCTGTCATCAGGCTCTGGAGCTTTAAGGAAAAACAGGACCAGTATAATGAGATCCACAACCCATCACAAACACTGGCAATGCTACTTCAAATGGCTTCACTTCACTTCACTGATGTCAGCAAGGACTTTGTATACACAAATATGGAGATTGCAATCTTGACTCTGGAAACACTGGAACCTTGAAATGGTAAAACTGGGTGAGCCCTAAGATCCATTTATTCCCGGATCCTGTCTCTGATTATCTGATGCTTTCTCTGATGCCTTTGCCAGATGCTTTAGGGAAAGGTGCATGAACCTTGCAGCAGGCAGATGTAACATAATCTGTTCAACACTTACCATCACTTTCTGGTTCCTATCTATTAGAGATGGGATTGGGACCAGGAATATAAATTTTAGCTTCTTTTCCGAAAGCGTTGTTAGTGATCATTGTTATGCTTTTTTGTTTCTTGTCATCCACATCATTGTCCAATCTTTTTATAAAATTGTTTGCTTAATTCTTGGCTTCTGCAGCTTCTTGTGTTCGGGACAGCTTAGTCCAATTACAGATGAGTGAAAGAAATTAGTTTGATGAAGATTGGACCAGTTGCTTCTTCATCTGATTGAATATCTGTTCACCCTTGTGTGTCCAAGGACAGCAGCAAGTCTTTCTCTCTGTGAGTATTTTCATCAGGATGTCTCATGGTTGCAAGAATACATGGTGCTGGAGATTTGTGCCAGTGAGTCTCTTTGCTTGAGTCTCCTTGCTTGAGTCTCCCATGTATTTTATCTGCTTGCTTTTACAGACCCTGCTTCTCTCCAGTGTTTTTCTCTCCCTACACATGTTACTCGACAGCTGAGTGTTACCTGAGCACTCAGGTTGAACTGAGACAGCCTCTGGTCTGTTTCCTGCTGTGACGTTTTGCATCAACATCTGCTCCTCTTTAGCCTATAAGGTCTGTGGCAAGAATGAGCTTCTGTGTATGTATGTTTGTGTCTGCAAACCATGATTTCCACTGGAACCTGTTCTGCTGTAGTGCATAGAATGATTAGTAATAATTCCTAATTAAACACCTAAATGAACCCTGCTCTGCCGTTCACAGGGTTGAGAGCTCGCTCTTTGTGACCTTGGGCCCAGGCTTCGTGGTGGGTCTCATCCCTGGAGCACAACAAGGCCAGTGGCTTGGAAGGAATGCAGCACTCCTGATTCTCCATGGGAAAGCAGAGGGCACACTATTCTCTCTAGAAACAATCCTGTCTCTGGTCTCCCTCCTTTGCCCTTATCTCCAAGGAGATTTGTAGGCAAATAGGATCAAAGGCTCAGAGATGTGAGATAGACTGCCTGAATATTCACCGGCAGGCAGGGATAGGTGGTGCACTTCAAGCAACCCATCCTCAGCTCACAAGTGAGCAAGGAGGAAGGATGGAGGCAGGGGATCAAGCCCTGACCCTTCTCTGACAGTCACCCTTTTTTCTTACACTTGGAAGGCACTTGCTGCAATTTCTGGAACCAATACCTCCCTTCTGAATGGAAAATCCAGCTGGAGATGTGCCTGTGATATCTGACACTTACAATTCATGGTATGTTGGTTGCTTCTGCAAATTGGATTGGGAGCACAAACATCCCCTCATGACTTGCCAGCCACGTGTGGAGTTCAGTAGTCACACTGTGTGTGGGCTCCTTGGAGAGGAGAAAACTTTCCAAGCAGCAATGGACTGGGATGAGGGTGAGAGGTGGGTGCGGGTAGGGGTGATAACTCCCCAGTTTGGATCTGAGCAAAGAGGCAGGTGAGGTTTGATAACTTGCATATTTGCTCAGACACAGGAGCTGGTGGGGATTTGGAGGCGAGGAGCCGAGCTGCTGGCAAAGGAGACAATCTAATGGAAGGAGGAAGGAAGATTTTGTCTGTGCTTGTATGGGGCTTTTTTGGCTTACTGCTTTTGGCAGTCTGCCTCCAGGGACTGGAACTGCAGAGTTCAGCCTGGGCTTCCTCCTGGAGAATAGCTTGTGGCTTTGATCAACCACAGCTATGTTCCTCCATCCCTGCCTGCTCCCTGAGCATGGAGTTTGGCTATTCAGACAAGTGGCGGCTCAACACAGGCCCCGCTGCTGTGACAGCCGTGCCAGAGCCAAGACTTGCTCTCCGGGCAATGAGAAAGATGCTGGCAGGCCCAATTGCCTCTGGTGCATGAGGGATTTTCAGCTTCAGCATATCAACTCTGCTGCCCAGACCACCCTTCAAGTCCCCATGTAGCAGGAAAGGGCCAAAGGAGCCTTGGAGACAGCAGTGTCTTGGGTCTCAAGGGAGACCAGGCAAGTTTGTAGGGGAAGGACAGAGACAGAAATGACCAAGGCAGTTAGAGGGGACATGCTGCATCTGCCAGCCTCTGTCTTCTATGCCTGGCCTACTGAATGGAGCAGAAGGCTCCTCCTGTGTGTTTGTCATGTCCTGGCAAATTATCTGTGTGTAGTCACTCCTTCCTCAACAGCTGGAGTGTGCAGCAATAAAATCTGTCTGCATTTCAGATAGTGCTGTTTTCAGTTTCATCTATTCCCTGTTCTAGCTGGTGATTCCTGGAGAAGAAGGATATAGTAATTATGGGAGAGTAATATTCAGGCTGCCCTTCACACCCACCACGTACACTATGCCATGGGTTAGCTGATCTCAGGAACGCACGTTGAAAACCAGCCCCAGGTTGTCTTCTTTGGGCTGCAGCACCCATCACTGTGATACTTGGACACCACTCAAATTGTTGAAGGCATGAAATCTCAGAGCTTAGAGTTCTTACTGGCCTCTGGATGGACCCACTGGCCCAGCCTGCATCCAGACACAAACCCCTGTCTATCCTCTGTTTTGCAGACAGGATGTTTTTTCCCAGTAGTTTGAAGGTAGACTCAGGTCTGGCAGTCTGCACAACCTATTAAAAAACAGTCTTATAAAATGTGAGCTAGGAAGCAAAACTCAGTGCCATAACAGAAAGAGGAAGAAACCACCAATTAGGAACAGCTCCTGAGGGGATGCTTTCTTAGGAGCCAGGAGGCACTCTACCAACAGGGCTTTTGGAGCAGGATGGGGCTGGCTGGGGAGGGCAGAGCCAGGGATACCTGACTTGCACAGAGCCTTTCTGCACTCAGGAGGGCTGGTCCTGCAGCCCAGCAGCTGCTGCGCCTGAAGCAAAGCAGCAAGAGATTGCACCCTGGCTGGGTGAGGATTAGCACCCAGGAGTAGGGAGGAAGAGCAGGAGGAGCAGTGGAAGATACGGCCCTCCTTAGCCTATGGCAACCAGCTAGCAATGAGGAATTCCTTCCTCCAGAAAACAGCTTTGCCACGGAGTAGCTGGAAGTAGCTTTCAAAGCTCTCCTGATAGCCAAGTTTCTCACACAATGGCAAAGATGTGCCTGACCACAGGGCAGCTGCAGGCAGGCAGAGGCTCTGTGGCCCTGCAGAGAGCAGAGAGGGGTCCCCTCATGCAAAACTAACCCACAGCTGGTGTCCAACTCCAGAGGTGGCCTCTTACACCATCAGATGTGGGTTGGTAGAGAAAAAAGACACCAGGTCTGAGGTTTGTAGTCAGTGCATCCTTCCTACAGTTTGGTAAATGCCAGGGGATTATTGTTTAGGTCTTGGCCTGTTGGGCTGTTGTAGCTGGCTGGAAGTCAAGGTTATCATTGGTGGTATCCGAGTGTGGTTGGTGGTGGGGGCACACTCCCCATAAGGAGCATTGAGACACTGAGGACTGAACGACCAGGATGTGTCTTGTTGACCATGTGATTTCTCCTGGAGACGAGTGGGTGTGCAGTGTGGCTTTTATTTGCTCCAGTCTATCTTGTTTCTCAGTTTTCCTGGAGATGACAGCTTCTTACCAGCTTAGACAATGGGGTCTGTGGGGGCATTGAGGTAAAATACTTGCTTGGGGTCATTGGGTGCTGCCTACAGGAACTGTCCATGGCCTGTGAGGAGAAGGGCCTCCAGTGGGCAGCCTAAAGCACCTGAAATCCCATCTGCTTTTTGAGGTGCCGGTGGAAACTTTGTAGGAGATTAAGGTCCCATTGCTCCCAGCAATGAGGTGGCTCATCAGCTGGCTTTCCTGACAGTTTTTAGTATCGCCTGTGGTCACCATTTACTGCCCTGTAGGGTTTCAGTGCTTTGCTTCAGCACTTTAACAACTGGATCTGTGCTTTGGGAGCGGCTCAGCTGACCTCACCGATCCCCCTGAGTGAAAGAACACATAAGCAGTGCTTCACGTCAGATCTGCCAGACACAGGTCACTGCAGTGGCCACCCAGAGCACCATGGGCAGTGTGACACAAACTATTTTGAAGATGCTGTAAGTGAGAGCTGCTTAAATATTTGCTTTGATTGAAGCAGGGACTGAGGTCTGAGACTGGGACACTCAGTCTTTAGTGTCCCAGACATTTTCCCCATCCTGAAAGTTTCTGTGTGGAGGTGCTCTCCCTCTTCCAAGGAGGTATTTCATGTTGTGTAAGGATTCAGTGTTCATTAGGTGAGTGATTTGAGTACAGGCCTCATCCTGTCAGAGGAATCACAGCGGTGTAATGAATCAGTCTCTCTGGTCCATTTGATGCAGACCATGAATCTGGGTCTCCCACATCCTTCTTGCAAACCTAACCTTGACCCTTTTTGTGGTCTGTCAGCCCTGATAAGTTTCCACAAAGAGGTTATTTTCCAGTAAATTGATATTTTTTTCAATTAAAAAACTAACAACAAAATTTGCTGAGAAATGTCAGGTAAGATCTAGTCCAGACCTAGTCCAGACATGTCAGCCTTCTGCCCAGGAAAGAATCTGTACCAGAAATTATCTTGCGCTGATGAATCTCATAGATGTGTTGCAGAGTTGCCAGTAAGCGTTTTGCCTACTAGCACAAGCAAGTGAAAAAAAGAAACCAAAAGGGAGCTTTAGTTTGACACACCAGGTAACAGAAATCAGGCTGTGTAATATTTTCTGCCTGACTACCCTTACCTAATATGAGCAGCATGGTGAAAAGGGAAGCAAGAAGCGGGTAGAAGTTAGGAAGATATCTTCTGAGTCATTGCGGAGTGAACAGGAAGTCCTGATGATTCAAGATTTGGCACTTTCCCTTGCTGAACCCAATGGCACATCCTAGTGCCAGGAGAAACAAGGCTGTAGGAAGTGCAATCTTTTGGCTGAGATAACAGACCTGTGATTTTCCTCTTCATCGATAGGGAGTCCACTGACATTTTCCATGAGAAAGTAAAGCTCTGTTTATAGTATCAGGACTGAGACTGTGCGTGGAAGTCCTCAGCATCTCACTTTCCAAAATGCTGTGACAACTCTCCTCATTTCAAGCCCATCTTCCTCAGTCATAGTGTGCACATACATCAACTTGTTAGTCTATTTGAGGAGCTAGTTGTCTTACTCATTAGAACAAGTTATGTTTATTCTTTTTAATATGTTGCTTATAGCATTTACTTTTCCCTATCTTTGAAGTGCTGAGATGCACAGCCACTCTTATTGGCTCTTCGTGGGCAGCACTGTTGTTAGATGTGTGTATATTTTGCTCCAGATATCTGTGCTCTTCTAACTTCCTTTTGGAAAGCAGCACTAGTAGGAGAAAGGTTCCTGTGGCCCCTGGTCTGCTTTATGGATGCTGTGGACCAGCATGGGATGTGATGATGTTAATTAAAAATGGCAACCATTATTCTTTCTCTGCTGGTCATTTTTGGAGCAGTGCTCTGC